CTATATATATATATATATATATATATATATATATATATATATATATATAAATTCTACGCCTTGTATACAAAATATCACTATTTCAAAATATAAAAAAACACATATACATTAGATTTGTAAAAAACACAATATATATTAATAGAATACCTGTGGATATAGTCAGCACTTGCAGTTGGAAATTCATAATTCAATATATGGCGTATCGTCACTGTGTCCAGCCCTCTGGATCCAGCATTTGTAGTGCACAACACTTGACATTTACCGCTTTTGAAGGTTGCGTATTTATTTTGTCTCTCGTACAATGGCATATCTCCATTCAAGGTAACCGTTTGTATGTTACATTTCTTCAGAAACATACTGACCCAATTACAAGTATCAGTCTTATTGTTGAAGATGATTACTTGCTCCTTGTTGGTTACTTTCGGTTTGATATATTTCAAAAGATAGGTAGGTTTATCATTTGGCCCTATCCTTATAAATTTTTGTGGCACGAGAATATGATGCAATTTATTCGAAGTTATGTGTTCCAATGATTGTACCTACAAAAAAAATAATGCACATGTTTGAATGCCACCTTAATCACGAGAGAATCTTAATGTTATCCTACATTTATGATATTTTCCAGAACTTCTGATATTCTTGATGGCATTGTTGCAGATGCTAAGGTAAATTGGGCAGCTGTTGGTAATTCGGTATTTTCTGCATTTTGTGCAAAGCCAAGCTAAAAACCGATATTACTGTGTTAGATTGTATTATATCGTATCATGTATCATATTACACATAAATTTTATAAATAGAAAATGTATACATACTGGAATTCTTTTCAAGAATACTTGCAGCTTTTCCTCAAACGTCTTGTGAAATAAAGCATCGGCTTCATCCAATACAATATGTCTGACCATGTTCAATTTATAAATCCTGTTTGTAGTTAATTTGCTGATGACTCCAAAACTGGCTACAACAATATCAACTTCCTCTACAGATGGATCCAACATCATTTTTTTGTTTTTCCACCAGTAAGAGTTTTTGTACGAATATTAAGATATTTGCATATTTTTTGTGCTTCCAGCTGTGTAGATAAATGTCATTTAGAAAAGAACAAAATTAACAAATATTTAATTAAAGACAAAAATAAGTAAAAAAGGAATGTTATATACGTTGAAAAATAATTAGATGTTTATTTCTATGATTATGTTCCTTTTTTGTGCTCGTTTTTAGCTCTTCAATTGAATATTTATGTCATTAACGATGAGTCGAATTCTAGCATAAAATTAATTTTACAATACAAACCCCAATTTGAAATGCCAATTCTCGAGAAGGCGTCACAATTAATCCCAATGGAGAATTATATCGTGTCCCTGTTAACTCTTTCCATCTTAGAACTTCATCTATCATGGGTAGAAGATAAGTCAATGTTTTTCCACAACCAGTTTCTGCTGCTATGATGGTATTAGCGCCATTTATTATTTTCGGTATTCCAATTGTCTGTATTTTCAAAGGTTTTGTTATACTGTATCTTTTTAATATATCTGCTAGTCTTGGATCTAAACCAAAATGTGTGAAAGAATCAAATGTTATTTCTTTTTCCTCTTCTTCTTTTTCTTTATATAATTCGCTGTGTGCTTCTTTTTCTACCTAAAATTTCGAAATATATGATTAGAATCATAAATTGGAAGAGTCAAAAGTAGGAATATAACAAATATAAAAATTTAATAAGTTATACATTTGAAAAAGGATATATGAAGAAATGATCCCCTTTAGATTTATAATGATACCATCCTGTGCTAGCCAATGGTATTGGTTCGTATTTGGGATACGTTTGCTTTTCATAGAAATTAAACTCTTTCCGTTTACAGACGATTATCGGCGTCTTTCCTTCTACATCCTTTGGTGTCTCGATGCGCCTGACATTGCCTCTCCTTTTAGAAGCTCTTCTCTATATACAACAATTATTTAAATATATACATTTGTTTGTCTAATAAAAAAAAGAAAGAAAAACGTAAGTAGAACTTACGTAACACCTTTGTAACTGCGCGAACTGAATGTACGCAGTTTTGTGACACAAATTACAGAATCGTGAAAACATTTTCCACCAAATTGTACTGCACGTAACAAGAGACAAAACACGTGATGTTCTAGGCCAGTGCCATCTTAAAAACCGATAGCAAAATATTTTTTATATTTGATATCTGTGATGTTTTAACAAATGATTAATTCTAAAATATGTAGTTGTTCCTTGAAAGATCAGTGTAGAACGTTTAGCTTTTTTCTTTCTAACCTAACTGTTTTCTTTAGTTTGCGAGGTTATCGATAATGCAGAACATTATTTAGTAGGCTAGTCATCTAATAGAGGACTTTGTAACGAATATCTTCAATAATCAATTTATGATAATATAATGATAAGTCTACTCCCAAAAAAGTTTAAAGAATGTTTTAAAGATAAAAGAAACGTCTTTCATATTTTTTCTGGAAATTTTTTGAAAATATTTTTATTATTTTTAAAGATGTTTTTGGAGTTTGTGCAGCTATTTACATTACCGATTGTAATATTTATCGTGAAGCGACAAACATATTTATCGATTGAAATTCATATGACATCAATCTCGAAGCTATCTGACTGATAAGGAGAAGAATACAAAGCAGAAATCGAATTAGTTGATAAATGATTATATCGATAATTTAATTATTACATAACATTCCTAACAATAAAATGTATAATGTATCATTGATCGTATGTTCTCGTAATGTATGTAAAGGAGCTGAGTAACAGCGTATGTAGATGACACTGCGTATTCATTTTTTGAATATTATAAACGAGATGACTAACTTCAAAATTCGTTCGGACCTAATGTTATCCAAACATCCAATAATCTGGCTAATATGATGCTTCAAACTTGAATTATTTGGAAATTTCCTAAGATACCTAAATAATAAAGTATTGAATTCGGATTCAGAATCATGAGGACTTTAAATTTAGAACTATGATTGAATTCGATAATTGAATTCGATAATTCGATGATTAAATACGAAAATAAAAAGTGTATTATAATTAAGAGGGATATAAATTCAGAAAATATATCAGAAAATATATCTTAGAAATCATTGAATATATAAATAAATTTTTTGAAATCTAAATTCAAATTTCAGATTTGGATCTAAATGAAAATTGTATAAATAATAGAAATTATACAAGTAAAATAGATTTATTAATGTGAATGAACAATCATGCTAAAAAA